GTGGTACTGGTACTTATTCGTTCAACCAAATAACCGACGAATATCCAACTTATTACTATTGCAACGAAAATTGTAAGTAGTTTCGCTCAGTACTGAACGAAGGCCGGTTTAGTATAAACTCGGCAAATAGAAAACGAATATATTCAGAATTGCGCAGGTCGCTGTTGATGTACATGTTCAAGGTTTTAACACGTCAAAAAATGGATTTTCGCCTAAAGATCTTGCAATTTATATTGGAAAACAGATGGCAGGTTTTGTCTTGAAGCCTCCATTTCCTTGGACTAGCTTAGGTAGCGAGTTTCAACGTCAAGCTAACTCATAAACATCATGGTATTAAATGGGAGAATGGTCATACCGAGGGTCATATCCTATCTTACCTGTTTCCAGTCATACTTCGTTATTGAGGAAAAGAGAAGGCAGATATCACCCGAAAAGCTCTATCGGTGATAGTTATTGAAGTAGAAGGAGAACTAGTTCTTTCTCTATTAGAAGCAAATTGCTATTATCATACACGGTCACAACTACAACTTCATGATTGAGTGTTGAAATTGACGCCACGGAAGTAACATCACAAACCCCCCATGTACCTACATATAAAATGACCGACCTGTTTAACGACCTATTGCCACCGGTACAAAAACACTCAACACAAATACACCTGTATCGTTACAATCTGTATTATATTTTAAATTTCACCATGTAGGTATACATCTTTCGCAACTCCCTATACATTTATTTTCGAATTTACAACTAGTAGGTGGCGCCACAATCGAAAATTCAGAAATTCAAATCTACCACACAATTTTCAAACTCGCCGCTACAAAATGGTCAACAGCCGCAAATTCCGGTATGACAACAAAGAAACAAAATGGAAGACCAGTTAGCGACCTATTGTCATCATAACATTGACAGTCGTAACAAAATTTTAACATGTATAAGACGACAAGACGTTCGGATTTCCCTATACATTTATTTTTAAATTTTACCGCGATATCATGACATACGGCAGAGTCAGAACAAAACGGCCGATCAATTAGGGCCCTATTGGCACCCGAACATCGGCACCGTAACAAAATTCCATCATACTTACCGGAAATTAAAAATTCAAATCTTCCGCACAAATTCAAATTTACCACCACAAATTGACGTACCCAATCACAACGCATCACGTGTGAAATCATAAAAAAGAGGGAGGGGATGGCGATCCTTTCGCTACTAACGTGCACAGATTTTGTACTAGATGAAAGGAAAGAGGGAGCTCTTTAGAATATTTAACAAAGTCTTAATGACAATTGACCAGGTACCAAATAACTGTGTAATTGATTTTATACCTTTTTTTGGGGAGAGGGGGGGAGGGATCAGGTAGTTAGTTACGGTTTGTGGTGTAAAGGCAGAGCCGTCAAAGTTGCAGAGGAGCGAACACGGCATCTTTTACTTCATGCATTTGCATTGTACTTTCCTGCATCCACATTTAATCAGCTCCATGCACGCCTCATATGCGGAGGGGTTTTCGGTCCATTTCAGCATCTATCATAATTTGGATATATTGGACTATTTCAAAGGCAGTTTTCTTCCCACGCCTATAAGAGCAACCAAAGTATTTGTAAGGCGTGTATAACAGCTACTGCTATTGCTAGTAGATCTGTGTCTACTGTTCTCACTAGCACATTTTTGTGTGGCCGATCAGGTGTAGGCAATTTTCTTTCCGCCATTTGGCTGATTCAGTTGACCGAGATATTTATGAGTTACACCAACCCTTAAAGTTTGGTCGAAATCGGTTCATTATTACGAAAATCAGAGTGTTTGGAAGTGTGCACAACTATAATAATTATCAGCGAACATTGAGGCAATTGAATTCCTACCTAAAGTTTACGCTTACTGCTGTAGGTAGTCTCACATTTGTACACTTTTATATTGCGCAATATTTAAAATTGCGCAACTTGGGTTATTTCAGCGTGTGAACTGCGCTGCAACGTGGAAAACTTGCGCCATCTTTTAAGCTGCGTGCAATTTTCTAACTTGCATATATTTCAGAAATTGATACGTGTGACTACCCAGACGCAATAAAATGTTGTTACAACAAAGTGGACCGTTTTGTCGGTTATATACAGTGGCGCAATTTGCGTGTAGTCTGGCACGTGTTCTACTGCATAGCAGATGATATGGCTTCTCGCGTAATAAAATCAAAGCAAAATATCAAGCAAATTGGCCTTCGGATAATACGTTTCTGTTACTTTTTCTAATAAGTAATCAAAATCCGAAGCCGACATCCGTAAACAAGTATACATTGTGCACAACTCTTGTGCAGATAAAGCGCAGTTTTTTAAACCGAAATAGCTTTTGTTTTGAAATCACCAATGGATATATTTCTTGCAGACGTCTCAATCTCCCTTTGTGAGTACCCTCTTCCCACAATTCGTTCTTGAGGTATAAGGGAATGTACCCGGTCACGATAAGAGGTCGAGTAGGAAGGCTATGGGTGGTAGAAATTAATTCCTTTCGCTGAGACCTTTCATTAGAGGACCATGAAGGATAAAACTAGTCCCCCCCCTCCACCCCGTACCGCAACAATATTCCAGCAATAAGTTGTTGACGACACCGCTTTGTTCTCGTTTTTTATCCACTCACATACCCATATTCTTTACCTACACTTCCTTTGTTGTTTTTGTCTTTTCAGTAAAAGTAAAATTACGCATCTCTTCGTCTTCAGAATACATATTAGTATTTACAAATTTGTTTGCGAAGATAAACTTTTTTTTTTTATTATTGATCTGCAAATTTACAATCTACTTATGAAACAAGTAATTAGTAAATGTTTTATGGTTTTTTTAGTAAGTCATGTGGCCATAGTCGCTTCAGTCTTCTATTGACACCTGGTTGGTTGATCAGCTGACCTATTAGTTCGTTTCCATGTCCTGCCAAGTTTCGATGGTAAGTTCTTGCGAGTCTCTGAATCTCGTTGGCCACGTATGGAATACCTAGATCTGCATGGAGAGTTGCATTTGTTACGTACCACGGAGCATTCGTTATTGTTCGGAGCATTTTCGATTGACATCTCTGTAGAATTTGGGCGTGAGGGGCCTTTGCACATCCCCATAATTGGATCCCATACTCTCATGGGTTCTAATATGATTTTGTACAATAGTATTTTGTTCGATAGGGAAAGTTGGGATCGTCTACCAATTAGCCAGTTCATTTGTTTAGCCTTAATGTCAATCTGTTTTCTTTTGGCCTTAATGTGTGCATTCCAGTTTAACTTCTGATCTAGATGTAGGCCTAATAGTCCAGGGTAATTAGCCAATAATTATACGTACAGTATTCTTAAAACAAAATATAAAGCTGATAATTGTTAAACAGGTAGCTTTTAGTATAGCAATTCCTAATTTCTGGTCTTGCAGTGTGTGGTGGGTGGTGTAGTCGCGGGACAGCATCAGAAAAGAGAAGGCGCCGCCGGTCGCGCGTTGCGGCTGTTCAGTCGGTGTCTAGAGGTCGCGTTTTCGAATAATAGTACTGCTAAAGTAGCACAACTTATGTATATTCTGTGGATGTCAGCTCCCAGGTATTTTGAAAGGGGGTATTCCGGCTTTGAGTGGTTTTAAGGATATTTCAATGAATCAAAGTCGGGAATATGAAACATCA